GAAGCGGTCTCCTAACACCCTGTATAGTTGAAAGATGGTCTGGCTACCTGACCTAAAATTTGCTTCGGGAGCCGAATTAAATCACGTATGAATCCTTTACCTATCAAGCGACATGACCTATCAAACCTCAATTGTTTTACATAGCATCCGTTCGCGTTAAAAATAGCCAAAATTACTATCGCGAGCAATTTCGAAATAGTACTACTACTGCGCTGGCGCTATGACCCCGAAGTGGGTCTTGGAATCCGACAACAAACGTTGCTATTCACCCCGGCGCTGCGTAACACCTTGCCAGTCCGACACTTGGAGTTCAGTTAAGTTTCCTTCCACAGCGTCAGACCACCGGTACTTGGACCTCTCTATGGGGCGGCGTCCCTCCGGTACACCCGTTTCACAGCCCGATCCTGCTCCATACGCACTACATGCCCGAACCTTCCAAGCCTCCGTGCCGTCATCTCCCCCAGAATATTTGGCTCACCAAAAAGCCTCTCCTTGTTTTTCCGGACGTGCCAAGACACGGATATACAAAACTAAAGTCAGGCCGATCTTATCCCGTGATTTGCAAGCGAAGTAAATTGTCACTTCGAAATAAGGTGACACTCTACAAAACTTGCATACGCCCCGTCATGACTTATGCAAGCGTGGTGTTCGCTCACGTGGCCCGCACCAACTTGACACCCCTTCAAGTCATTCAATCCCGTTTCTGCAGGATAGCCGTCGGAGCACCATGGTTCTTAAGGAACGTGGATCTCCATGATGACCTGGAGTTTGACTCAGTCAGTAAGTATCTACAGTCGGCATCATTGCGCCACTTTGAAATGGCGGCACGACATGAAACCCTCTTATCGTGGCCGCCGGGAATTACATACCCGATCCTGTAGAACGAATGGTAAACAGTCGACGTCGCCCTAAACACGCCATTACGGATCCTCCCGATCCATTAACGGTGTTTGTAGGTACCATAAGCACCGGTCACCGTCCTCGTCGAACCCGTCGCTTGTAACGAAGGGCTCGACGAGTGAATTAACCCATAGACACAGCCCACTGAGTTTCTCTCCGGATCTTCTCAGTGGGTCGCGTGGATCCGGTGGTAGATTCTGCGAGGCACTGCTAGGGCCAGTGTTAGCAGCACAACAGGTTTGAGCCCCGTGAGCTCACCTACACGTCAAGGAGAAGCTGATATAGCGTCTCAAGGCTATCAGCATAGGAGGAAAAAAGCCGATCTTATGGTATGGATGCGAAGCGTGGACGCTTACACTGAAAGAAGAGTCAAAGCTTCTCGTGGCGGAGCGAAAGATAATAAGAAAGATACTGGGACCAGTTCAGAAAGATTTCGAAATAAGCCCTGTCAAATTAAAGATAGAAATCGCCAACCCTAATGATATTTTATTTCGTAGAACTTATATTCTCGTGGACTTCCTGCATGATAGAGCACGCTTTGTTGTAAAAATACAAAGAGAAATGCAATACAGATTTATTTGATTCCATAAAGTGGTAAGTCTCAATTGTGAAGAGGTTGTATCTAATAACTTTTTGAAAAAATTGCCGCTGGTAGGACAATTGAAGCCGTCAGCGCAAAAGTGGGCCTGCGCTTACCATAGTTAGTTTTTTTTGGAACCAAGTTCCTTACGGGACGATGCGGCGGGTTACCCTAACCGGGGAAAAACATCCGTAACGTAAGATTTTTATTAGTAATGCGCACAGTGTACGACTTAACTTTGTAATAACGTACAAAAAATAACACTGTCTGAGGGCTACAGCTGCGCTCTGGAGTTTACTCGCGATTAGGGACTTGTTTTCTACTCGAGTAATAAACGGTCGTGTCTTCGGCGAATAAGGCTAACTGGGTCGGTGCCGACCGGGGAATGTCGTTGATGAATAAACTAAATAGGAGCGGCGAGAGGACGGAGCCTTGCGGGAGTCTATCAGTAAGAGGTCGCGGGGAGGAGCGAGTTCCTTCGACTTGATATCGAAAAGTCCATAGTTAGTGGGGAGTTAATGAGATTTGAATTTTCTTTAGACTGGACTTTCTTTATTCAGAAAAAATAATGCTAACAAAACCATCTGTTATCTATGGCTGAAACTAGGGATAGGCCGGTTTTGCTAAAATATTATAATGTTTTAAATAAACAGCAATATCAAAGGGGATTGCCCACTCTCCATAGTGTGCTAGGCCCAAGATGGACATCAAATATTACTATAAAAATGTACTGATTCAAATTCTTAAATGTATTGGATATCTAAAAAATATATTGAAATTGACGCCACTATTATAAAAAATATAATAAAAATAAAAACTCGTTTTGAGGTTAATTTTCTATATAAATACTTCAAGAACTTTTCTTTTTTTAATGTTTAAGATGTTCCTAATGTATTTTTATCCAATAGGGTATAAAAACACACTTAATTCTTTAAATATCTATATTTTCTTCATCTTCATACNACCCGGCAGGCTGGTTCTGGTCCAGCGGGGTATTCCGGGACACCAGCGGCACCGTCTGGGCGGCCCGACGGGCTGCCGTACCGAGACGGCCGACGTTTCAGAGCCTTCGATTCGCCTCGAAGGCTCCGTCGGCTGGGCGTCCTTGGGGTGAGCCGCGCCGTCTGGTTGTAGTGTTGACCGCGGTAGCCCCCCTACCTCATCCGGGTTCTGACCTCGGAGGGGATCGGACGTCGGGTGTAAGAGTGCAGGGGAGTCGTTTAGTGGGTGGGTCCTAAAATCCTTGGGCCCGCGGTCTGCTCACAACACCATGCAGATCGTTGAGTCTCACATACCCCGCGCGCCCCTTTTGCGCGGGGACCTCGTAGGAGGTTCGGCCCTCTACCCGAAAAAAAAAAAAAAAGAAGGCCAATTGAAGCCGTCAGCGCAAAAGTGGCCTGCGCTTACCATAGTTAGTTTTTTTTGGAACCAAGTTCCTTACGGGACGATGCGGAGGGTTACCCTAACCGGGGAAAAACATCCGTAACGTAAGATTTTTATTAGTAATGCGCACAGTGTACGACTTAACTTTGTAATAACGTACAAAAAATAACACTGTCTGAAGACTACAGCTGCGCTCTGGAGTTTACTCGCGATTAGGGACTTGTTTTCTACTCGAGTAATAAGCGGTCGTGTCTTCGGCGAATAAGGCTAACTGGGTCGATGCCGACCGAGGAATGTCGTTGATGAATAAATTAAATAGGAGCGGCGAGAGGACGGAGCCTTGCGGGACTCTATCAGTAAGAGGTCGCGGGGAGGAGCGGGTTCCTTCGACTCGATATCGAAAAGTCCATAGTTAGTGTGGAGTTAATGAGATTTGAATTTTCTTTAGACTGGACTTTCTTTATTCAGGAAAAATAATGCTAACAAAACCATCTGTTATATCTATGGCTGAAACTAGGGATAGGCCGGTTTTGCATAAAATATTATAATGTTTTAAATAAACAGCAATATATAAGCAATATCAAATTTGGGCCCTTTGCGCGGATGGCCTCAATTACAGACCGTACAGGTAGGTATATAGCACCATCGCACAGTCAAGAAATCATATTATTATGTTGAAGTCTGAAGGTACCGTCAAAGGCGGACTTTCGGTGTGCAGTATGCGGTACCGTGGATTTCGTGGAGTCAGAGTGGTGGAACTCGATGGGGCTTAGTCGGTAGTCGGTTTTCTCAAGGCGTAGTCTCCCGGTAGCAATTGGAAGAAGAGGAGGACCTCAATCTACCTCTTCTCCCTTTTCTTCTCTGGAGGCGCTGGAGTCTGACATAACCCGGTCTTCTGTCTCTCTCCCCCCACCCACTCTGAGGCATGACTTCGAAGTTTTTTTTTTATAGCTTAGATGGGTGGACAACCTCACAGCCCACCTGGTGTTAAGTGGTTACTGGAGCCCATAGACATCCACAACGTAAATGCGCCACCCACCTTGAGATAGAAGTTCTAAGGTCTCAAGTATACTTACAACGGCTGCCCCACCCTTCAAACCGAAACGCGTTACTGCTTCACGGCAGAAATGGGCAGGGTGGTGGTACCTACCCGCGCGGACTCATAAGAGGTCCTACCACCAGTAAATCCGCTAAATTACATAAACTAAGCTATTACCCGCTGACGCCCGCATGGTCAAAATAAAGTAGCAATGTGGTTTCACCTTAGTTGTTTTTTTCGGGATAAAACGTAGCCTATTTCACTTTATTCTTTTTTAATTCATGCAACGTTTAAAAAATTCATCTTCACAAAATATGCAAATTAACATAACCGTATTTAATTTTATGAAAGCGCCATCTAACGGAATGCAAAAAAAGCATTTCTGCTTTCAGGGATGTTAGTATAAACCCCTTTTATTTGAAATCTGAAAGGAAGAAAAGACGAAAATTTACTTTTATTATCACATAATAGATGGCGTTGATTTTCAAATGAAGCGTATTTTTAAAATTGAAATAAAATAACTATTATAAAAATATTCATTTCATTGCGAAACTGATGGTAACCTACAGGGTAGGTACCACCACCCCGCCTATTTCTGTCGCGAAGCAGTAATGTGTTTCGGATTGGAAAGCTTCGACTACCGTTGTACTATAGAACCAGAGAATTAGAACTCATCTCTCATGATGGGTGGCAGTATTTATGTGGTTGATATCTATGGAATTGGGTCACCACCTAACGCCAGGCGGTACGTAAACTCGTTCGTCCGCCCAAGCGATTTAAATAAAATCCCGATTTACTGAAATTTACTTTTGTTTTGCATTGTTACTATTAAAATAGTCACGAACAAAACAAAACAAAATTGGCTACATGGTGTGATAGCCAGCTGGGTCGCCTCCCAAGCGCTATATAATTGAATTGAGAGGAATTTTGAACCGAGAACCAAGAATTTTGGAGAAAAAGGTTAGCTTAACAAAGGCCTAATGGCTACACATGACAAACTATTAACATAAATAAAATTTGAATAAAAAAAGGAAAACTTAAATATTGATACATGTTTAATTTAAGCTGAAACATTATTTTTTATTTAAACAATAACACTCATATTTATCATATTATATTTGTCATAGGTTTACAGAAAGAATGCACTTACACATTATTTTAGAATCACAGTACATTTATCACAAAAAAAAGTTTTATACAGTTTGTTTTCCAGTATGTTCTCCAGCGACTTGTACTAGCAAAAGCAAATAGGACTAACATAACACGTTAAATATCTAAAAAAAGGAATCAATACTAGGGGCTCATTCAATTTAAAGAGACACAAAATTACTAACTTTTAAATAAACCGACTAACTAGACTACGCTTCTATTTGCCAATAAAAAAAAAAAATTTTAGTGATCACACTGGCAACTAATACTTCTAATTACAAGATTTATGTAAGAATAATTTAATATACTTACATAATTGGACATTTTGTACAAAAGTGAAGTCTAAAACTATTATCACCACTATTGTTAGTCGGCAGGTAGTAAGTAGTAAGCAATAAAAAAAGAACATAGCTGCCGATAGTGACAAAATACTACTAGCTCATGGTTCTGTACCAGATTCAAATGCTAACTGTGTGATTGTGTGTGATTGAGCCATAAGCTTGTAATTCAGTGAATTAAATAATAAGACATTACTTTTCAACATTGTTGTACGTGTTAGCTAACTTTTATTGGAAAATTCAACAGTATGTTAAAACGCATGATGTTTTTGTGATGATGAAACCTAATTTTTTTTTCTAGAATTATGCTTTTTTTGGCAGGTTGAGTACAAAGATGAAATCTAACAAAATAATTTTCATCAATATAATAATGCTATATCTAAAATTAAACTATGTTCTAATAATTTATTTACAATTTGCTAATACAATATGGACATGTTCAAATGTCATTAATAAAATCGGACATTCTTTTCACTCCCACGATTCAGACGGATATTGCAGACTGTCCTTGTTAAAACATCGGGAGACTATTCAATAACATTAATATGAAAACACAATATATTCATATTGAATTTAGAATAAAGATAAAGAATGAACTTTCCATAATAAATTATTGTGGCTCAGATTTGTCCTCACAAAACTGTGACGATATCCATGTTAAGGCCCATTTTAAGTTCGTCAGCATATATTTAAGGGCTTTGGTCCAGTGTTCCTCAGAATTGAACTGGATCTTTATGGAGTACGCATGTGGTGGAGATGCTGTATCTTCAATTTTGCCTTTGTCTATTCTGTACGGAAGACAAAAGCCCGTATTACCCATTTCCACTTGCTCCTTGAACTGTTGCAGGCAATCTAAAAATGCTACCATTGCCGCATCGAATTTTGTATCCCAGAGAAACCGGAAACCACCCGAACCGTATAACGGTAAGACTTTCTGATCTTCCAAGACTTCTATGTATGAGTGATTCCCGTATGGTACTAATTTGTAGCGCTGGAAATTAAAATTAATTTTTCTGGCTAACGAAGAGAGGAGCAATACAGTTTGACCCCATGCCGCATTGATCTCCGACCAATCAACCGGTGCAGTAGGCAAGCGACCTAAGCGAAAATTATTAATTATTCCAAACTGACCAGAGTCTGATATATGGAAGGTAGCTTTGAAGACATTCGTTTTTTTTAATTTTTCCAACTGTGACTGTGTGTATGCCAGCTGACATTCATAAAACTTCATTTGGTCTTCTGTTGTCATTAAATCTTTTCTGTATTTCGTGTACTCCCTCCAATACACATCCTGTTCTTTATCTAGCCTCTCTTTCTCCCTCTCCTGAATCTCTATTTCCTCATTCATTGCTCGCTCTTCTTTCTGCAAAGCCTGCAGCTCTTGCAACAATCTACTCTGCTCTTGTTTCCAATCGTCCAATTCTTTCTCAAGTCCTTCCAAATTCAAATCCTCTTTATCATCTTCTAATTTTTTTAAATAATCATTATAGTCCTTCCATTCGGCTTCCGTTTGCTTTAGCTGATTATCCATTAACTCTAATAATGTATCTGTACATTCATCGCATAAGGGATGGTCGACGTAAGAATTGTTAGATAATAGATCAAATAAAGTGGCTTTTACATGGAGCTGGTGACCTAAGGAGGTGGTCTCCCATCCGTCCGAGATTACCATGAAGCCGTTGGCACCGTTACCGGACTCCGACATACGAAACGGTGGAACATAATGATCAAGACTGGACGACTGCAAATCCAAGTCCGCCTCGTTATTTCTTCGAATTTGAAGGGTTAAGTCGGCGATAGTATGCTCGCCGAGGTTGTTCAGGGAATCGTCCAGCTTCAAAGGCTGCAAACAACGCTGACAAGAGAAACTTACGAACGTCTTTGAATCACTCATTTTTAATAGCCTTTCACTGTTGTGTCATAGATAAGAAAGTTATTTTAAATAAGTGGTATTTACTAAAAACTACAACTTCCCGTTAACAGTATCTAAGTTAACAACTAAATTAAGATGAGAAACAGAGATCAAAAAATCACACGCAATACTTTTTGCAAATTCGTTAGGTATTGTTGACAAATTTTATTTTTTATTTGATACGTCCATTAAATAGGCAAAAGGAACACAGTTCATACTTCTCTATTGTTGACAACGACATTAAGCCAATTTCTGCAAAACTAAAATAGAACATGTTATTTATAAATAATACCAAATGGAATAGACTGAAATGAGATGAGAAAAAATTGATTAGTGTTTGACTTTTTAGCAGGAATGCGAGTAGCGTTGCGCGAAATTGCTTTATTTTGTTAAATTAGTGTTTCTTCCGGTTTAAACGTCTAATAATAGTGACTGATTAACCGTTCGGCATCGTTAAAAGTGGAAAGGTACCGCAGTGCGGTAAAATAAAAAAAGTTGCTGAGCGTGACTCCTCGGACTCCTCCAAAAAGCCGCTAAACTCTTTAAATAAAATTAAATTTTAATTTAATACGATATTATTTCATTTCATCTTTTTTTATTTTGATTGCATAGTTGCGTGAATGAGCTCACGGCCTACCGGGTGTTAAGTGGTTACCAGAGCCCATAGATACCTGCGATGTAAATGCCACCACCTACCTCGAGATGTAAGTTCTAAGGTCTCAATTTTTACAGTATAATGGCTGCCGCACCTTTCAAACCGAAACGCATTACTGCTTCACAGTCGAAATAGACAGGGTGGTGCTACCTACGGTGGTATTTCCACTACTTTAGTACAGCAGTATTTAATTACATCACATTTCATTTAATCCCAGGGTTATAATTTCAAATAAATGAATTCATTTCATTTCTCTCTAATTTTCATATTATATTTTTTTATTATTATTCATTCAGCTTTAAGCATAAAAGTACAACGGCGAACTTAATGCCTGAGGTATTCTTTACCAGTTTACGATGTATGGTGTTTCATATCCTTTCTAACTATAAAAATTAAGATTTAGATTTATTCGCCACTGGCAACAATGGGGTTGCAAGAACCTAACTGCCATATTGAAAAGAAAGAAGAGTCGCCAGTGTTATTTTACGTCTTATTAAGTGTAATTAATATCCATGAGATGCTCTATTGTGCATTTGTCGTGTAAATTTATTTAGTCGATTTGAATTTGCCGTGACAAACTAACGCGTTTCGGCTTGAAGGATGGGAAGTATACTGCAAAACAAAAAACTTGGAACCCATGTCTCAAAGTGGGTAGTAGCATTTAAGTTGTTGATGTCTATGGGTTCCAGTGGCCATTCAGCATCAGGTGGGCCGAGATACAACTTTAGCAAAAATAATACATTATTCATTTTAACACTACCTACTTTTAGTAAATAAAAAAGTAAAATTCAGAACTAGGTAAATTTTCTACTAAAACCATTTATTTTTGTTTCAGTAAAACATTAATTATTTTTATTCAATTTGGAATTTAAGATAAATAATACACTAAATCAGTATATTCTTAAAGAAATTTATCTCCGGGACTAGAATACATAAAATAGGTTGAAGTAATTTTAGACATTTTTACATTATTTACATCATTTATAGCACAAATAATTCTTAAAAAAAAAGACCATAATGAGGAGAGAAAAGCTATGTCGCTTTATACGTGACATTTATCTTTGTAATTAAGGATCTGTTTTATTTGACATCAGCATCAATAATTCGCTGTTTTTAATTTCAAACTCCGATTAAGTTTACCCTATTCAAATAGATGAAGAAGTTTTTTGTTATGATTTTTTTTTTCAAATTTTTAACTTAAAATGGCTCTCCCGTAAAATTGGAAAAATATCGCTTAAAGTGAATAGTCTTTCACCCGTTAATATTGCTACGCCGGTAAGAGTAACGCCATCTATCGCCGAATATAGAAGGATCTAGTAGCACTTGGAACGCTTGAGAAGTACAACGCCATCTATTGTCAGATAGCGGAAACACAATACTCGAAATGTGTGGAATATTATCGATAATTCTAGGGATGTGGTATCGGCTATAAAAGCGTTGCAGAGATGGCACGCAGTCAATTAGTAATCGGAACTACTCGAAGCAAAACAGCGAACGGATCACCTGAAGCGAAGCGGAAGAAGCGAATTGAGAATTTTAAAGTGTTAGTTGAGTGTAGCGGTTTGTAACAGAAATCGACACAATTACTTCAGTACGCCGCGTAGGGCACCGGTGACCTACATAGAAGTCAAAGGGTTAAACAAAATATTTATTATTATAAAAGCCTAGAAGAAATTAGTTAAGAAAGAAAATAATCGTTCTTAAAGATTTTGTCATAGGGTATCGATTTTCAGACCTTTCGAAATCGATTAAATAATAATAAAAAATTAAACCAGGAAGTCTAGCATAACAACAATAATAATCACTTAATTAATAATTGTCACCAGCTAGTAATCGAAAAACTATACACTATTATATTCAATAATACGATTTAAACTCGAACTAACAAATTACATGGTGTAAATGAGAAAACGATTATTTTTCTACTTATCGATTAAATTTTTGTTCTACCTATATTGATTGAAAATTCTTTTCATTTCCTTACGCATAAAACTGACATGTTTTTTAATACACACGCCGTCGGTACTAATATTTCTGAAAGAAAGATACAGTTAATTTTACAAAATAATAGGAACCATACTCCATAATGTTTTGATTTACATACATAATCTGTGTAACATTTACATACTATGGAGGGTAGAGGCAAAGAAAACCATCTTGATTATAAGGCAAGTTAAAAAAGGGCACAGCCAATTACGACTTTAAAAAAAAACACAGCACACACACAAAAAGCGTGAAAATAAAAGTTTAATATAATTATTTTTGGTGCTATTTTCAAATCACACCACTAGCAACGGTGGCGCCCCCATAATTCCTATGATATTCTCGAGATTAGATGGACCTTTTCTCAATCATTGTAAAGAGGTTGACAAAATATGCTCGTAATGGTAAACTACATATTTTAATTGTAATTGTTTGTATGTTGTTCTTTTCATTTGTCTTTGCTACTATGTCTTTACTAACTTAATTTTAAGAAATCACTGTTACTAACATTAATATGGGTTAATATTTTATCTGAAAAAAAAAGAATTTAATAATAAGTCGCTTTTCCACGAGCACTCTTTTCATTCGTAAAGAGTACTAGAAGATGACCGAGCTTTGCTCGTGGCTCATTACGTATTGTGTCTTTAAAGCAGCTAGTTGAAATTATGAAAAATAGTATTATTATTCGCCAATAGATGTCGGGAAGAGTCATAAAGTTGAAAACACGAATAAAACAACATTTTCTGAAAATAAATCGTAGCTAGATCGATTTATCGCCCCCGATATCCCCCGTATACTAAATTTTATAAAAATCGTTGGAGCCGTTTCCGAGATTCAGATTATATATATATATGTATATATATACAAGAATTGCTCGTTTAAAGGTATAAGATTCTCATTGCCTCTACCGTCCAGATCACTATAATTAAAAGCTACCTTATATTTAGGGCTTTAATCTAAAGTAAACATAACCTTGAATTAAAAGACCAACTTAAATGCCTAAAACATATGAACACATACATAAAACATGTTAAATGTTTGTCTATAAAGTATTTACTAAAATAATACTCAGATAAGGTAGACATTTGAATTAAATGTTAATGTTTTTAATGCAATGCATTACTATAGATACATACACTATCTATATAACAATTTATAATGAGAGTATATACAACAACACATAAGACACTGTTACACACATGACGCATAAGAAATAGCTGATTTGAGGCCTATGAAATCAAAGGCAGCTAAACGCCTTAATGTCGTAAAATGGATTAACAATGGCCCTATCTTGTTTAGTTAGTTGAACACGCTTTAGTGTTTTCATGTTATAACAAATGCAGCTAAATCTCTAACAAATTTAATTCAAAATTTTCATTTTTACTCTGTACTAAGTACTGATAAACGAAGTTTTATCATTTAAAACTCAGATTATTAGGAATATTCTCATTATTTATAAATCTGTTTTAAAATAAAGAATATCATAGCTATCCGAACAAAGTTATTTCAGTTTCTCAAACCGGGAGTGTTGCTAACACTGGCCCTAGCAAGAGCAGTACTTCAATGGATCGGGAGGATCCGTAATGACGTGCTTAGGGCCGATTTTTGTAGTTTCTCTGAATATTTGACAGACTTGGATTTAGCTGCGTTTGATTTTATAGGCCTCATTTATTAAATTTTATCACGAACGTGAAACATAGATTTCATTTTGACACAGGAGTTGTATCTTGTATCTGATTTTTCTTTTGCTTTTTTTTTTTCAAAGCGCCTATTCAAATTTATACGGCCTATGGCTTAACTGTTCCAATCAAAAATATTAAGTGAAAAAAAACAAACAAACAAACATATGAACGCGAATGTTTTTTTTTTATATTTTCATTAGTTGTAACACGGTATTAAAACTATATTTACGATTCGAAAGTAAATGAACTATAATATCAAAACGTAAAAACGTAAATGCACTTTTAAGCCTTTTAAGACTTTTTATTAATTTTTAATAATACAAAATTTAAATTCGTTATACGCCTAGTAAAGTTTCTCGGTTGTTCAGTATTATTTTGTTACGTTAATTTCGTCACGGTGTTCCGTGAAGATAATGCGTAGGGTCTTGGAGCTGATGGTAGTACGCGTTCGGCAGTAAAGCTTGGGCAAGTCCTCCCTGTGGCCCCGCGTACTGCGCCGGTACCAGCATCTCGCTGTGGACCAAAGAAAACCGATATGAGACCATTCCATTGTGTCCGAATACTTTGAGAAGGCGGCACGACATGAAAACCCTCTTGTCGTGGCCGCTGGAAATTACATACCCGATCCTTTAGACCGAAGGGTAAATAGTCGACGTCGCTCAAAACAAGTCATTACGGATCCTCCCGATCCATTAACGGTGCTCTTAGGTACCACAAGCACCGGTCACCGTCCTCGTCGAACCCGTCGCTTGCGACGAAGGGCTCGACGAGCGAATTAACCCACAGACACAGTCCACTGAGTTTCTCGCCGTATTTTTCTTTACATTAA